GCGCGCGAATAGCGAGTGTTTGTATGTGTGTTGAAGAGCAAGAGAGAGTTCAGTAGAGAAAGTTACGGAAGAGGCAAGCGCAAGAAAACAAAAAAATTGGGCAGTTTAGCCTCCTTCTGCTCCAGCGCTTAATTGTGTTCTGTTTTTGGGTCTTCGGTGTGATAGCTGATAGATGAGCAGTAACCGACTATGAACTTACCATCTTCACCGCTGGAAGCCTGGCCCACACCATCAGCGCCCAAAGTGCCCAGCTCGGCGGCCTGAATGATTAGTGAGACCCTATAGAAATAATTTCGCCAGAAGTTCTCCTCAGTAATGCTGCGCGGTGTTGAAGGATATCAATGAAAGTAATTCGAATTGGTGTAGGTAATGGCTACTCACATCTTGGGCACCAGCTCAAAGCGCATCGTCTCGAGCGCCTTATCCTCGGCCATAATGGCTATGGCAGTGGGATATGCTATGTCATAACTAAACTCAAAGTCCACGCCGGCTGGCGGAGCGCGCACAAAGTTGCGACGATCCTGTGATAATCCCAAAATTTCCTCCTTTATCTTTGTCTCATTGGCATGTCCAATCCAGGGGGCGGCTCCATTGCCAGCACCGCCTTGACCCTTAATGAATGCCTCCTGTTCCTTATTGAACGAGTCGAGAATGGTCTAAGTACAAAAACAAAGGTACAAGGTAATGTATTTTGAACACTGTTCAAGCATCTCACGATTTTACTCACATTATCCTTGACTGTTTCCTTGATTTTGCTGCCAGCCTTGCTGATGGCCGATGACAAGAATGATCCAAAATGTTTGGCCTGTTGAGTTACTTTTGTGGTAACTGTTGAAGTGATAAACCTTTAAATTAGTTTCGTTGCTCGGGTAGATACAAAGCAAGTAAAAGTGGTTGCAACTAAATAATGCAGTCAACCAAAATAGCTAGGCTAAAAAGGAAATTGTTTTTGGGTGTGGGGTTATCAAGGCTTTCAGCTATGGGTGAATAAATAAGTGTGCACTATGAATTCGGGAGCATATCAACTACGTATAGTACTGTAAGCTGATTAGTAACCTGTCACCGCTTTCTATCATTTTATTCACTTTTTGTTTTGGCAAATTGCATTTGAGTTTCTTGTTTTTAAGGTTGACATTCATTTGACATTTATATAACTTTTTTTTGTTACCAATCAAACTGTGACACGTACTTTTCACTTCATCGCCCTTACCCTGTCCAATTTGACCCTCATCGCCAGTGGGCGTGCCGCCGCCCGATGCTGGATGCGAATCAGCGCCTTCTGTAGCACTGTAATTAGAAATTGCGTCAGCGTGCATCATAGAGAGAGAGAGAAATAGAGAAAGAGAGAGAGAGAGAGAGAGAGAGAACAAAATAAGCTTGTGTCAGATTTGTGGTCGTGAATTTGGGAAAACGTTTATACATAATATATACATAGGATATCTAGTGTGGATATTGCAGTTCAACTCATGCAGCATGCAACATTAAAACCGACCAGTTGATATTTGGCAGTAGTCCTATTTGACTCGATCAGCAACAAAGATATTGACTGAAAGTGCGTGCGATTTAAGTCCGAGTCCCTAGCTTGTCTGGGTACTAAATGTAATCATAGACTAAATCAATAGGTTCTCAAAACAAATATTTGTCGGCCAATGGATTTTCGAAGAAAAACATACCTGAGCATTCGTTTTTAAATTTCTATTGATATTATACAAATTTCTTTTGAATTAATGCGTGATTTCTCATGCTCATACATATTAGGGTCCATGTTAACAAAGTCTACTTGGCAACATTTGTAAGGTAGGTAAAGCCCGCCTTGTAATACACTGATTAAGAGAGAGCTTCAAATTGTTTTTACGTGTCTGCAGTCAAGCATTAATTATTTAAAAAGGTTGCACAGGAATATTTATTACTGACTAATTTATTGTATTTAAGTTCTCGCTGACGATTTTAACTAATTAATATGAATGTTTGGTTGATAATATTTAGTAATATGCACACAAAGCTTTATTTAGTATTAAAATGACTTTCATTTTGTTTTTTGTTGAAAACCTCAGTTATTAACTTAGTCTATGTTTAGCTACATATTTGTTTTTATATTCACGTTAACGTTTATGTATATTTACACGTTTTATGTATATTTACATTGTTTTTGGTTTTAGTTCAGGACAATTATTTATGTTGATTGTCGATGCAAATGCAATGTAAGTAGATAATTCAAATGAATTGTTTATGAAGGGATGGAAATTATATAAAATGCATTAATCGAAAATGAAGAGGCCAAAAGAGAACACACATAATGCATGCACTAACACTCGGATCATCTTTAATGAATGTATTCTCAGATCGGTTCTTAAGTTTTTCTTCTTTTGACATCAAGTGACAGAGAACTCTAGTAGAGCACACATTTAGAGAGTTTATTTGGAAGGAGCTGCCAAAGAAAATTATATAGTCTCTACACACACAAAATATATAAAAAGTATAGCGAAAAAAAGCGAATTACTGACACAGGATGAGCTACACATCGACACTGAGAAATTAGGGTGGCATATAAAAAATCATTGATAACTAAGACGAAAATAAAAATGATAACAACTAGTAACATCAATTAGTTTTTTGTTTTTATCTACTGCGTTGCCACAAGAATAGTTCCAGATTTTATTATGGGTTTTGCTTAGATCCTTGAGATTGTTTGATGGGCCGCTCAATAATGATGGAATCTGATACTTGAACATTTCTGTCTCTACTAAATGGTATACAAATTGATTTTATTTTTATATAACGCGTTACAAAACGAAAATATGAAATGAATCAAAGTGTGAAATCAACTAATGATGAACTTGGAATATGTTGTCGGGGGCATGTGTAACAGCAGCATGAATTTAAATTAAGTGATTGTATAACTGGATGAAGGGCTTTATGAAATGGTTTATTTATGTTTTCGTTTTTTAAGAACAACTTTTTTAGAATCTAAACATCACTGTGTCCCCTTACAAAATGCCTAATTTATAGAACTCTGAAATACACAATGACTTACCTTTATTCTTGAAAGTTGTAATTGATATTAGTCTTAAAGTATATATTAACACTTTGTTAAGGGACAAAATTGTTTTTGATATCCGATCATTTATCAATTCGTCAAAAATTTGTAAGTTTCTCAATATATATTATATATATACATACAAAAACGTTTAAAATGTTATATATGTGGTTTGTATTAAGGTATTTGTCTGTACAGTTTTAAGAGTATACGATTTTAAGATAAGTTTATAAAGAGTAAAACTAAAGTTAGCACGAGTGTAAGATTATGAAGTTCAAGTTAAAACGGATATGGGTAGAGGCTTAAGTGAGTAGCAGTATTCAGTGATATTTTGTATTAGTTATTTTAAAAGCTAAATAATTATTAGAGGAAAATACGTGAATATATAAAGCAAAACTAAATGACAATAGTCATATATTTAAGTTAACTTGTGTTTAAAATATATTTTAATGGTTTTCTGGAAGTGTTTTATTGTAGCGAGGTTAGTAAAGGCTTGTAAATAATTAGTTTGGGACTTTGTTGAAATTCAAAAGTTGCCTTTATTCCTAAGGGTGTGAACAAAAAACAGACGAACAATAGCCGTCAAGTGAGTGAACGTTGAACGACAGGTTAATTCCAAACAAAGGACGCAACAATTATTTTGATCAAGTTGAACAAAAACTAAAACAAACAAAACAAAAAATAAAACAAAAATTCTGAACTAAAATACAAACGCGCTTTCATAAAAGTTATTTCTCTTCGCTGTTGCAGTTTCTTTTCGTATATAATTCCGTCATTCTTAAGCAGGGGCCCATACCTAATATACCTCGACTTGTCGTCTTCTTCGCCAGCACTCACAGCACCCGCAGCATTGACATCTGGAGCACCTTCGCCGCCCTCAGATCCATCGGCAGCGCCGCTCTTACGCAGTCCCGGAATCGATGGTATTGATGGCATCGCTGGCATCGAAGGCATCGATGGCATTGCCATGGCTGGCATCGATGGTATCGAAGCATTGCCCAGCCAGCCCTTGGCGCTGCCTAGCCAGCCACTGTAAAAGAAAAAGTTAATTTAATAATGTGCACGAAACTCTTGGACATTGCGCAATAATCAGACAGCCTGACCGACAGCCAGACACATAATCAATCTTGCCTTAATTTGACAAAGTTCATTGCTTGGATGCTCATGAGTGGGCCCGATAATATCTATACAATATGTATTTCGTCAAACAATGAGCAGCCCACTTCATATAAGCACATGCCCTTACAGGGTGTCACAACAGAGAAGTAACTCATAATCTTCCAAAAATAATATAGCAACAAATTATAATGTACCCATTAATGCATGTATACTAGATGGAGTTTGTTTTAACTCGGCTTAAAGCGTCGAGAGCAGTTCCTCAATTTGCATTGTACCTAATCTTTTTGCCATTATCGTTAACCAGGATTACATTGGAGCGAATTAAACTTGGATTTTGATCAAAAGTTGTTTCCTTTAACGCCTGTCAATTTTTTCTGGGATCGTCTTGTTAAGAAAAGCTATGGCAAGTATTCGTGCCCAATTAAGAAGTTTTTCAATATATTGTATCTTATAAAAGTCGTAATAGAAAAAGCTTCCTTGTTACCTATATGTGTCTTGTTATTCATATAACTAGAAATCAATTTAATATTATTTACTTAATATTTAGGTCACACACACACTTGGACTGCACTGCCTTGACACCCTATATGCAGGATGTCTGCCAGTGTGTGTGTGTGTGTGTGTGCAATTTTCCTACGTTGATAAGTCTGCGATTTATTGAATCAGCCGTTTTGCAGCCGTTTCCTTCCTTTGTTATGTGCTCGCTGTCATAAATAAAATGTCTCTGACAAGCTCATGTAATACGTGGCGTATGCTTAATATGTGCTTGGTGAAACGAAAGAAGGAGCGTAGAAAGTAGAAAGCACATCATCAAATAAATTCGTCTTTGCGCTAAACTTCACTTGGGTGTACGAAAGACTCGTCATTTTTGTAGCACATACATAGAATAAACTAACATTTACAAAAAAATTCAATACAACCATAAAATGGACGATACTGAGGACTATTGTGCAATTTGTCTGTGCCGCAAACATCGCATTGTAAGCACCCCCTGCAAGCACACATTTTGTAAGCGCTGTCTCAAGAAGGTCTACGATGTCTGCCCCACCAAGGTCTGTCCGCTGTGTCGAGCTCCTTTCGAGTATTATATTGTAAGTAGTTGGCTACACTTGACGGACGGCAAACATCCAATTAGGCAGAGACTGCTCTATAAACCCCTCTAATTGGCTGCTTGCTGTCCAAGCTTAAACTTTTTCAATTCCATCTAATATATCAATATATATATACACCTATACCACAGCGTGAACGTGGCTCTGGCATAAAGATCGTATTTTTGACATAGTGGCCTGTGCCAATAGTCGAAGTTGACAATAACTGTCTAACCATAATGTTTAGTTAATTAAATTTAGCGGTTTTTATATTTAAATTCCTTTTTTTTTTTTGGTTTTTCCATTTTTTTATTTTTGGTTTACATTTGTTTAAATAAAGTTCATGTTATTTTTTAGTCATTTCATGAGACTCTGAAGGACTGCATGTTTTCAGACTATCGAATTTTAACTTTAATTGATTAGTTTGAAACCAAAAAATATAATGAAATTCATTTTAAAACAAAGTGTAACCAGAGTGATTCGAAGAATACAATTTCTTGGATTGTGTGTGTGAATTGACAGAGCTTTTTCTTATAAAGTGACTCGACTTACGCCCATCAATCCCATATGTGCCGCAGAGCTCACATGATGCGTTCTTGGCCACAGCCACTCTTCTATTCTAACAACGATAACACAATTGATGTGATATGATGCGATTCGATTTAGTTATAGGGAGCTTGCAATGCCAGGACGAAATCTATTGAAATATTGAATGCTTCGCCTGCGGCAATACAACGCGCAAGTATTGTTCAACACCGTGCTGCCACGCCCACAAGCGTCGCTTTAGCTCGTGCATGCAAAATATTGATGATGCACACGTTAGTGCTGTGAAGGATAAAGGAAACGACATCAAATTGACAAGCAAAGGAATTCTGTAGCCTAGCCGACATTCCACTTTATTATTAAGCTCCATTGGCGCATTGACAAGGCAAGGCCAAAGCCAGGGCTGCAGCATTATTATAATGGGTACACCACCTCCACCCCCTAGCCACCAGTTGGAATACGTAGACGGACCGACACACAGAAGCAACCGCTGAAGCAGTGAAGCGGCAAGGACTGAATTCATTTGTACAAAAAGTGGCCATAAATTGACGCAAGTTTATTTCATTGCATTGCAATATTTATTGAGTTACGCTGTGTTCAGCTTTGTTATAGACGGCCTGTACGATCCATTTAATTATTAAGTGTAAATATGGCATATGCCAGTCGTATATAGCATGTATATAAAGCGCATACGCCATGTTGCGCTCAATTAGCCATATACAGAGCTCATTTTGCAGCTGCTCGTGTAAAGCATTTCAAGGCAACTTTTACGGCTCCTTGTAGCTGATAAGCCTTGTACAACTATCATTAGCATTTTCCAGCCCGTCCCACCCTCAGCCCCTTTCTACCTTCTGGTGTGATTTATGGGTTTTGGGGGCGCGACGCTTTTACGCAGTTTTGTTCGCCTGACAGGCGGCAACAGTGTTTATTTATGGGCCGCCTAGGACTATCCAACATCCGTATAATGCTGCCCAGATTCTGATAAGTGGCATACTTAAAGATATCTCTTTCTGAGTTGAGCAGCCGCATCAGGGTGGCAAAACTTAAGTTGATTAAAGTGCTTAGACATTACATAATAATACTTATTTTTGTAATTTGGAAATTACTTTAAAAACTGCTAATTGCCCACAAATTGCTTCTATACATATGCTCACTTTTGTTTTACTGTTTTTGGTGCGTTAATATCACAAATGTTTAAAATTTTTACTGCGCGGAAACCCTAAGAATCTCTCTGTGGGACCTGATTTATGTATGTACTTTGACTTTCTATGCTGTACAATATTCTTGGTTCCGTGCAGTGAAAATATTTGGCGCGTATACTGCTGAACAATTCATATATACGCAGTTGCTTGTTTCTTCATTTTTCACTCGAGTCGCAGCGGAAAGTTTTAATTATAAAAGTTTGCCGCAGCGTTCTGCGGGAAACCTAGAAAGCGCACAGAAAAATAAGACAGCATGTTTAAAATGAAAAGTGTAAAAGTGAAATCCCACTCACACGGACATGGAATTTTGTCAGGAATCAAAGGTTTTGAACTTTCAGCTACGGATATTTTCTGGCGTTGAATGCGCGACAAATCCAAAAAAGAAACATATTTTTATTTAAGGCCTGACCAACCCAACTCAAGTTTTAAGTTATTTTAACACTGCTTTATGGCTTTTAAAATCTTACTGCCATGCAAGTAGTTGAGCAAGAACATGCTTGCTTTAATTACGTTGGCCTAGGCTATACTAATATATATGTCCTCAATTCGCAAAGCAAATTAGGAAAAAACTAATTATTGGCATTTTTTCTCCTATTCGCCATTTGCGCAATGAGCAAGGGTAGTCTATTATATATATATATCATGCATGCACACTTATTTTCTATATACACTAGTTGAGTTATACTAACTAGATATCACTTGACTTTTTACAAATGATTTTTTTATATTAAGCAAGAATTTGCAAATTCTCTTTTAATTTAAGTTCATTTTTTTAAGTTACAAAATCAAGCAGCTTTTCTTAATTTAGTTTAAATTTAGCATTGCCAATCTTAATCGCTGTCAGTACATTTTGAATAACAACCTTTTATTAAAGATCTAAAGTCTTTGAAATGTTAAGAAGATTAATAACTGTCGTGAATGGTACGTTTTGTCAAAATTACTTGAAAAAAAAAATGTTGACAAAATACAATTTCCTGTTGACAGTTTCTACAGCAGTTGTATAATGTGTAGCAAAAAGGTGCATGATTGAATGTTTTAAACATGTTTTTAGCTTTTACTGAACATTTAAATAGCAGAATATGCTTGACATTGTATTCTGGGAAGCATCCTGTCGATGATATGAACCATGTTGTTTCTGATTCAATGTTTTTAGCAATATAAACGTACCATTAGATACAAAAAACGAATTTGTTTTTATGTTTCTAAAATCAGGACAACGCCAAGGATAGCAAGACATTTAAATGTATAAGTATGCAAATTGAAGTCAGTAAAGCGAGTAGCCAAGCTGCAATACACAACTGCAGTTGCAGAGAATCGCAAATGTGGGAAAAGAAGTATATGTCCATGTGACAAGTCCCCTATGGAATGAAGACCCCTCCCTTCCTCAGTGTCCCGTGCTTACTGATGCGCAAATTGCATTGCGAGCCAACGCAGCTTATATGGCTTTTATTTTTCAGGAGAACTGGCTGATTGCTTATCGCCACTTTTTATGGCTGTTCGCTGGAAAAAAAACAAATAGCGATAGCCACCAGAGAGGGGTGAGATAGGGGCGCGGGGCTGGTTTTGTTAGAAGTGGTAGAGTTTATTTCAATGGCTGTAAGTGCTATTTTTAATTGAGTCTGTGTCGAGAGTCACGCGTGGGCTCGTGCTGTAATTGGGTTGCATTGGCGAGCTGAGATTTCGCAAGTTTCCATTTCAAAGGCGCCAAGATAAGCAATTTTCAAGTAAAGTCAAAGCTGAGGAAAACCCACCAGTCGCCAGCAACGCCCCCGTTGCTATGCTAAGCCTCTGATGTATACACGTGCACAAACAACACCCGCACATTCCTCCCACACACACACACACACACAAACACACCACACACAGAATCACATATACACGCGCCCAGCATATTTAGGATAATGCTAAAGGAAATTTATTGCATTTGCGCAGAAAAATAACACTAAATGCGTATAAAAAGCTAAATAATATCACGCAGTATAGCAACCAGTCGGGTGGTATGAAGCCGAGGCTTTCTGCTTAGACAGCTCAGCAGGCCACACTGTGCGAGGGTTTTGAGAAAAGTTAACAAACGATTGATACTGCTTTCATAGGAACATTTTAACGTACATATTTATAAGGGTGCAAGCTAGCTTTTAAAGGGGAGGGGTTCCAGCCCGGAGACTTTTATTATTTAACAAATATGACAAGCCAAGGTTTGCACTAAAAACCAAAGGTAGGGAGATGCATCGAGCCTTGCACCAAATCACCGTCTTCAAATACATTTTAGCTTATGCACAAAAGTTTCTTTGAGTTGTGTGAAAATTCACAAAATGTGGAATGTACTACTAATTGACTTCACATTAAATAATTTAAGTGCCGAAGTGTACCTTATAATGAATTCAGTAGAATCTGCCATTTCACTTCGGAAGTTTAAAAAGGCTGCCTGAACAGGAATATTTGATGAATTCGCACAATAAATAATTCATGTATTCTGTAGTTAGTCCGATAACAGCCCAAAACTTTTTCCACAGTGTGTGTGGGCACGATATATTTAAATGTCTAGCTTGCTTCTATTCAAAAAAGAAAGTTAATTTGTAGACTTTATATAAAAATCATTTCGAGCTACCCTCGCTTGTCGTGTGCTGCACGTGGCAAAGGCGCAACAGCGAGCTAAAGAAATGAAAAAGAATGGCAAAATCCACATTTGACAAATTACCAGCAAGCAGGTAAAAAGCAGGTTAAGAGACAGCTGGGGGTGTGGCAAGTAAATAGAGTAGAATAGGTCCTGTAAGGGATGCCGCCCTCAAAGTAGACAGTGCAAAACAGGACGTTATGAACGTGTCAGTCAGTAAGACGTTACATATATATATCTATTATTATGACCATGTGGAGCTACTAATATTTTATGAAAGGCACATTTAACGCTTGCCAACTCCCAACGCCTCCCACGCGCACCGACCCAATAGGAATAATGGTTTTTGCTCGTCATATGACATTTGACTTCTCATCTTTTCTGACTTTCGATTATTTTCTTTTGAACATTTTATGGTATTAATTATTTTAATTAATTTTCTTAATTTCCTCTTTGTATAGCCTTGCATTTATTATTATGCGCTACGAAGACTCGCTGACTTTTTTCAACTATCGTATTATTATGTGCAGCCGCCGAAAAGTGTGCATTAAAATATGCAGCGCAGCATCGCAAAGGCAAAAGGCAAGTATTATTAGGACTTTTCCGAAGAAATTCGCTAAAATTGTTTACATGGCTTGGTGAAAAGTCAACAATAATATAGACAGCTGCTTATCCTATTTATTTATGACTGCATTATCATCTTCATTTTTATCAGCTGAGACTACCATTGACGCAATTGCGATGCAGGACGAAACATTAGTCACACAATAGATTTATTGTTCCCTGTTATAGAGGGTAAGTTCAAATCTAAAGCTCAATGAAAAATTAATTTTTGTGAGAAAAACTCTTTTGGTTTTTTGATTGAGACCTAAATTGGCATTTGACTGTTTTGCCAATCTTCTTACATATGATTGAAGTCGT